GTATGGCATTTAAGTGGTAGTTAACGAGGTTTTTTTCTTTATCATCCATTAATCAACTGAGTCTTACTCAGCCGAGGGAATACCGGACCTGGAGATCTTAGCTAATGGCAAATGCAAGGTAATGTGATTTTGCTAAAATTCTAGTAGAAGTCTTTAAATTATATCAAACTTCCTAAAAATTTCTGTGGAATAACTGTGAAGTTGCTGTGAGCTAAGCCTTTTACCATGGGTCAGCTGACCCATGCTGCTTTCCTAAATTAAGGTCAACTCTTTTTATTGCTGAGCCCTGAAAGCTTATTACTATTTTATTACAATGAATGCATAGACTATGACTAATTTTTAGAAAATATTTTATATTCATTTTAATTTATTAGATACTTCCATGTATGCTTGCTAAATAAACAGGAATTTCAGTGGTTTACTCTTGCATTTAGATTTAATTTTTTTCTTTTGGCTTTGGATGGTTTCTTTGTGGCAGCATGAATCTGTTCTAATTTAAAGACAGTCCAGAAACAAAAAGTCACATCAGAACAGTCTTAAACTTTGTAAGAGGTGCCTCTGGAGATCTGGATCTGAATTTAAGCTACAGAACAAGCTCACTCAACTATTATTTGAACCATCAAACTCTCAGGTCAGAATATTCTGAAGCTTTTGGATGTTCATAATCCAGATCTAGTTCAGGAGAACCTGACTTTGTATAAACTTTTTTGATACGGCAGGCGGCAGTAATTATTCAGCCACTGTTCTCATGCAATGGATCTCTCCCAGTAAAATGAATTCTCCTACCTATGTCATGTCAGACAGCAGGTCTTTAAATCTCTCCGAACTTACCTCACATTCATAGTGTCCCATATCTTCATTGGAAGGGTTCTTGACCACCAGGACTATTATGCCACTCCGTGGTTCACTGAAAGTCTGGTATTTACTTGTGTCTTTCAACAGTAGACCATCTTTGTACCATCTGCATGTGGAAAACACCGAGTATAAGCCAGGAAAAAATATGCAGTGTCAAGAAGTCCCCAGCTCACTGATGCATCTATCAGACCAGTGGGCAGATACCTCAAGAGTTAACCATTAGACAAAAGTTTGGATCCTGGAAGGTGGGTCTACAGGTGGGTAGATCACACATGGATCCTAAACTGCACAGGTTTATAAGATTCTTCTCAAAAAATCTCATGCAGGCAAAAGGGCTTCTAGTCATGCAAAGCTATGCTGGGCTTTTTGTCTGAGTACTCCAGACTGGTTGCTGATAAAATAAATTCAAGTGTAAGGCAGGGAGGATAAAGGAATGATAAAATGTTGTCAGGGCATTAGATCTGATACACTCCTATGGCAGGTGTTATCTGTAGGTATTTCTTTTCAGATGCTAGCTAGAAAAAATTGCTGAGAATCTCAGGAACGTTGGGATTGGGAAAAGCCAGCATTGGGATGGGGTTAAGGTGGAAGACACAGAGAAGAAAGCATCATAACCTTGAAAGAAAGGGCAGGAGACTTTTCTGACCATGCCAAATGGGAAAACAGGATTTGTTCCAGCGTGAGACTCAAACAACTGACCTGATTTGAGGCCTAGGTGCTCCTTCGATAGTACAAGTAAACTGAGCATCTTCACCCTCCACAAAATAAGCATTTCTAACCTTGTTCACAAACCGTGGTGGCACTGCAAAACAAGGATAAATGTAGCTAGTAGCTGGAAATACGACCAGATATGAAGGATGTGTCCGTGACCAGGTAGTTCTCATGATATCTGCAAAAAAGACACTAAAGACCAAATTTTTTGACCTAAGAACAATTGACTACACCTGTACGTCAAATAATTTTTTTTAAAGTATTATCCAGTAGATGTTATAGAGAACTTCTGGAATGTCTTAATATTCATGTTTAAAGTATTACGTGCAGTCTGCATTTAAACAATGTTTGCATTTAAAACCATGCATCTGTGCAGGACTTTACCTTGAACAAGTATCTTTCCTAAGGTACTGGCATTTCCAGCAGGACTGGAAGCAAAGCACATGTACTGTCCTGAGTCAACACCTGTTAGGTTGTCCAAGATCAATGTGCAGGAACCGTCGGGATCTTCTATTATAATGTGATGGGGATCCACCTCCACAGGCTTTCCATCTTAAAGATAAAGGGGAAAAAAGTCTTCGTAAAGAGTTTAGTATGAATTATGTTTTCTCCTTGAGAAGTTCATCCAGCTTTTTGGCTTGAAAGGACGGAGAGCTGTATTTGCTTTATTGCAGCTGATGTTAGTAGCTGAGGAATGAGCTCTTCATCTTCCTCCAGCTCTCTACAAAACATCCTCTGGGCAAAGCACTGTTGAGGGACCTCATACATCATCAATACTCATTTAAAAGTGAAATTTTTCCAGAGGATATGCTGTGCAGCTGTAGCTCTGATTTGCTAGCCAAAGGAACACCTCCAAAGTGACTGTAAACACGCAGGACAGATCTTTACAAGGCGTGAACTTATAGCAAAGCTGTTTCCTCTGCAATACAGTAATGCTGGGGAAAAGAGTATGTCTGCACAGCTGCCTGTGCTATGACATGGAAACATCTGAGCTAGTTCAAACAAGTTGTTCATTTACTAGACGTGTCTAACTGCCACAAGATGTGGATTCATACGGTCTAATAGGCAAACCTGAAAAAGCAGGGTATATTAGCTCACAGGAAGATCTACGTTACTTGGGTTGTTTAGTAGCTAACTTTAAGACTAGACTTGGGTGTCTCTAGGTGGTCAGCTTTTCGATTACCCACTAACCAGTTAGCACAAAGCAATATAGACGGAGAACAACTTTGGAGGATGCATTGCATGACTTGCTGCTCATACCTTTGTACCAGCTGACAGACGGCTTGGGAGCTCCCGTAACTTTGCAAGCCAGCTTGACTGTCTCTCCCAGCTCAGCTGTACAATCTGCCAGTTCTTCCTCGAAGTCTGGAGGGACTGAAACATCAGAATAAGCATTTTAGTCTGGGGAAGGGGGGCTCTGTCCATAGGATGACTGCTGCAAAGTAAGATAAGAACAGGTATAATTTTTGCCAATCTGTGAGGTTCCGAATGGAAAGCTGAACAGGAAATTTTAGCAGCTAATGACTTCCCAGGTGACATGCTGTCTTTGCTTATCTGAGACTAAATTCAGTCTGTCAAATGTCTGTTGTTGGCTATAAAGATGGGCCATAAAAAAAAATGGGATTTGTTGCTGATCTGGAAGCATTTTAGGCCATGATTTTAATAAGCACATCCATTATTCAGACACCACACAGCTGTTACAGTTAAGATAATTCCCCAATTAAAATGCACTCTTGATATCCAAACTAGTATTCTGTTGGTCTCCATACAATAAAATCTGTGCTTTCTTAAGGGACTTTTATTTTAACTTATTACTACCATGTGAAACTATGCAAAATTATTCTGATAGTCTTCCTCATTAGAACACCTCACTAAAAGCACAAAAATAAAATGCCCAGACTTGTTTTCAGTGTATATACACTAAAACCAACTCTGTTCTGGCATTTTAAGATGCCAAATTTCCTTACGCTGTAAAGGACAGCATTTCTAACTTATACCTGGACAATAAAGGTCTAATATCCCTCCTGATAAATTTTGGGGATAGAAAATTGGTGGAATCTCAAATGACAGTGAGGACAAAGCAGCCTGGATGACAAGATAAAAATCCAAACCCCATGTGCCCAGATACATCAATGTAAAGCAGAAGTCGAGTGGAGGATTTGGTACCCAGCAAAGTCACAAGGGACTTTATACTGGTATGAGTAGGACTCTGGGTCAGGTCCCGAGACTACTTTTCCCACTGGAGTCTGATGCTCCTCATGCAGTGGGCCAGGGCCTTTGTCACCAAATTCTGTGGTCATCTACCCTTCTGCAATCCCTGCCAGATCAAATGCATCTCTAGTGCCAACTCTGCAATTTGCATTTTAGAAGTTTCAATAATATGTTTCGTTTCTCCAGTGACGCACATTTTCTGGGCTATTTTGCTGGAAAACAACATCCTCTGCTTATTGACAAAAGCGTATGAATATGAAGATAGGGAGCTGAGTAACCACTTCAGCCTCTGACTCTCATCCTCCATCAAAGGCAACCCACATCCCTCGAAACAGCCAGGGGTAGCCAGCTCCTCTCAGCTCATCAGCCTGTGTTTTCCACACTTGGGTTACGGACACTGAAGAGTAATTAGAAAGTTACTTATCTGGTATTCCCTCAAAATCTATTCAGGTCCTACGGGACCTCTGTTGTGTAAATTTAATCATTTCGGTGATAAACAGTCTTGGCTCTCTTGATGGTAAATGGAGTCAGACACCACTGTCCCGTCCTGATAAAGGTGCCTTCTCCAGCTCAGGTGGAGGACCTAACACTGCTATAATCATTTCAATTAAAGTTTACTGCGTGCTGTCAAGTCACATGAGTTGTTATTTTCAGCAGTCTGTCATGTGATTAAAGGAAAACCTCCAACCCTAGGTCAGTTTAAGAGGTGGCAGATGACCCTAGATGGTTTCTCTCCCTCTTTTGCTAATCGCCTTCCTTGAATCAGGGACACCATCCAAGAGAAAACTGGGAGGTCTGGGCTATCTTGGGCCATACTCACCCCAGACAGGCTCGCTGATCCGCTGCTGTATGCCACAGATCTCCTTCACCCAGGAGTTCTTGATATTCACTGTACGTGCCTGAAGGAGGTACTTGCGGACCAAGTCTTCCCGTTCGTGCCAGATCTCAAACGCCCGGTCATCCCCTTCCACAAGGTCGTTCACATCTATGTTGTTCAGCTGCATGACAGAAGGACAAGAAAGTCAACACCCATCCTGTGTTCTTAGGGCTGAATTTGAGCCAGAACCTTTCCCACAACTGAAATCCTAAACTGAAAATTGTTTAGGACAGTTCAGATCTGGACCTAGCTTTTGTGAACCAGATCCCTCTTCAATCAAGGTTTGAAATAGAAACAAGTCTCCTGCTGTCACGCTCTACCCTCTTCAGTGGACATGAGTTGTGCCATTCCCATTAAAGCTACATTAGATGCTCCAACGGCAAAAGAGATAATTTACACCGCTTTTAAAGATTTTTCAGATTGCATGAGCAACTCAGCGTGGCTTTGGCTGAACAGCAGTCAGGGTCACTTTGCAATCCTTTCCCCAGTATACTTGACTTTCTGGTTACCAAACAGACATCTTCCTGGGAGTAACTATCACGTTTCAGGCAAATAACATCCAGCGTTAAAGGGTATCCCAAGGGTGGGACACACTGCCCCTACAGTGCAGCGTTGTTGGACCCAGGAAGAGCACCATTAGGGACAACATGAAAAGAAATTACAGTGCAGGCACTCTCCGGACAAAGCATCCCTTTTTTTCTTAGAAAATAAAATCTGCCTATGAATATTATTGAGGACAGAGATAAGGACTTTCAGAAGGCCCCAACTGGGCTTGGTCAAGAACTCCATGGGTTTTTTGGTTGGTTGGTTGGTTTTTACTGGAGTTGAGCATCTACTGCCTTGGGAAAACTCTTTCTGCAATTTCTTGCAGTTTTAACTTAAGACCTGAATGTCTGAAGATGAGCTGGTCAAATCCTCTGAATTTTTCACTTCTAGACAGGAATTGGTGTCAGGAAAGGACGTAACTAGCAGAGAGAACCACTGGGAATGTAGCATATGACTAAAACAACATTTTCTGAAATTTACTACCAACATTACAGACTGCCAAAACGAAAGATCTACAAATGCTAGCAAATACTATAGACAGCAAAATTCATATCAATATCACATACTTGTGCAGTTAACTCAATGAGGTACCAGAGATGAATAAACACTTGTACGTGTAATCTCATTGCTGCCTGGTAAAAATCCACCCATGCTTTTGATGGTTTCTGACATGTTTCTGAGAGGTTTAACAGAGAGATTTTGGGATAGACATAGATTCTACTTGTGCTTCAGAGACTTTTAGAAACAAAGGAATAGCTCAAAAGGATTAGTGAAATGTCCAAGCTGGATATAAATGTGAAGTTCTAAATGACAGAGAAATGCTCTAGGTGAGGATATAATGATCAGACCTTCATGATGTTCCTGAAGATGTAACTGTAGGTGTCTGTCTTTGTGTCTCGCTTTGGTTTGCAGATCACAATATAATTTTTGAAGAGGAAGACGTGTCTTTTGTGTCCTTTCCATGCCATTCTAGCTCCTGGAGCCCCTTCCCACACAACGAATTGGCCCTGGTAGGAAAAAGAAGGAAGAGCACATAGTGATAAATCTGGAATAATTACCACAATGATGTCTCACCATCTTTTTTCAGTGAAAAACTGTGAACAGATAACAAATGTTTACTGTTACATCGTTATCTTATGTGTCTGTTTTATTACAGCACAGCAGATTGGTTCTAATGCTAAAGGTGATGCATCAGACCGACAGCACCAACAGGGGTGCACACAGTGGTTGTCATTACATTGTCCTTTAAATGGTATTATCTGTTGCCAGAAAAATACAGAGCTCTTGTCAGGTAGGCACACTCTTGGAAATGGAAACGCTAATGGAAAATTGTATTTTGTGTGTTATGCGGACACTTTATATGCTCACTTGGTCTCCTTCACCAGAGCAGGACATTCATTTCACATACCTTCAGACATACACAGCTCAGTTAGTGATATGGGTTCCCCCTTGGCATCGTTAAGGAGAAGTAAGCACTCTTGGGGTGTGATCGGACTCTTTTTCAGATGCCTAAATGTAGATAGATGAATGCCCACCAGAGTATCATTGTAATTTAGCCTTACACTGTGATTCCCATGGAAGACATAGGATACAAACAGGCAGAGTAAATGACTTGCCCAGCATGACACAGTCTACAAAGAAACAGGAATTTGAGTAAGGGTGTTGAAAGTCCTAGACTAGTGTCCCAATAGCTGGGTCACCTTTCCTCTGTGTTCCTAAAACACACATCTGTTTCATGAAGAACACCTGGAGAAGCACACCGGTCTTTTGAAGATATATGAACAGCCATGGGAGAACATCCATAAATTGATCTAACGTTTTCACATGGAGCATATGCAACATATACTATGCTACCTTGTACCGACATCCCAGCAAACTAGGCTCTTCGAAAGAACTGTGTCAAATGAAAGCATGTAGACTGAAAAGGCCCAGTGAGCTTCTAGCACTTGAGGAATCAGCAGAAGTAATTTCAGGCATTGGCCCACACAGCTTGCCAATAAGAGAGGAGGAGGGGAAAAGATAAAGCTTTAAAATCTTGTGGGGGCCCAGAACAAATCTGTTCCTGTTTGATGAGCGGGTTGGAAAGGCAAATAACTACATTATGTGTGAATTGCTCCATAAACATCTATGCTCTGGTGCTTCAAACCATAATCAAGCCAGGAGACCAACCCCTCTGAACAGTAAGAAAGGCAATAAGCAAATACTCTTTTTCAGATACGATTTCTAAAGGAGCTTCTTGTAGGACCTAAGGCTACTTAGAAACTAGTGAAGGCAGGCATAGCACTAACACTGACTGAGAAATTCCAGTTACCTGTCGGATGGGTTCACCAAGGCTTTCCAAGGTCCCCGGATAATTCTCAATGAGCGAGACATGGAGGTTGTTTTCTGCTCTTCGGGTGAGTGCAGACACAATGGCATAAGCCTGCTCCAGCAAAGTGCAGTTTTGGCTATTTCTTGCTTTGTTTCGGATTAATTCCTGTAGATGAAGGAAGAAAATGTTACTGGGCAGTCAGAAAAAAAAAAAAAAAAATTTCCTTGATAGCCAAAGAGTTTCTCAATATCTGTTCCAGGTCTTTTATTTGAGCAACTTTTATCCCATTCTTTCACTGTGTGCTGCTTAGCTACTGAAGTCTCCTCTCTCCTACCCATTCTGCAGCCTCACTGACGAGCCAGCCTGGCTTTTTCCTTACATCAATTGATATTAAACAAAGACAAAGTTGAAGCAAATACCAGATATGCTTCAGTGATTGAAAACCAAAAAAATCCAAAGCGATCCTAAATGTATCCATTGCATTTCTCTTGTGCTTACCCTGATGATATACACATACCCTGATGATATATACATACATGTATTCATATATATGATGATACCATGAGGCAAGCAATTCATGTGGCAGGGTGTCCTGCTTTCGGCTGGGATAGAGTTAAATTTCTTCCTTGTGCTGTGTTTTGGATTTAGTATGAGAAGAATGTTGATAACACACTGATGTTTTCAGTTGTTGCTAAGTACCCTGCTAGTCAAGGACTTTTCAGCTTCCCATGCTGTGCCAGGTGCACAAGACGCTGGGAGGGAGCATAGCCAGGACAGCTGACCCAACTGGCCAATGAGGTATTCCATACCATGTGACATCATGCTCAGTATATGAATGGGAGGCATGTTCCAGGAAGTAGCGATCGCTGGTTTTGGGCATTGCTCAGCAGGTGGTGAGCAATTGCATTGTGCATCACTCATTTTGTATATTCTCTCATCATCATCATCATCATTGTTATTATTTTCCCTTCCTTTTCTGTTCTATTAAACTGTCTTTGTCTCAACCCACGAGGTTTTTTTTCCACTCTTACCCTTCCGATTCTCACCCCCATCCCACTGGGGGAGGGGGGAGAGTGAGCAAGTGGCTGTGTGGTGTTTGGCTGCCTGCTGCGTTAAACCACGACACAGGGCTAAACTAAGAGTTGCTATTAGATTAAAAACAAGAGAGGATGGGAAAAAAATGAAATGGCAGTTATTCTTTTCTTCCACATTTGCTCCTGTTCCTCTCTTTTAGTAATGTATGCATGCTCACTCTCTCTTCCAAGAGACCCTTTGAAATGTTGGTGTTTGTGTGGAGGCAGGTGTTCAAAATTAGAAGGTTAATTTGAACCCTCTTCAAACTATTCAAGCTGCTCACTTCTGTAGTGCTAGAATACAGAAATATTTTGGCAGTCGTCTTTCTGACTATCCTAGTGCTATTTCCCATGAAAAATACCATTAAAAAAATGCTACTTTGAGACTTTCATTTGTGGTCTGGGCAAAACCTGAGATACTAGGGCAGATAAAAACTTGAAAGATGAGATATTTCAGGATGGCAGAATGAGGCAAAGCTTTTCAGAAAACAAAAATTTCATCTTACTATAATGTCAGTATAAAACACAAGGAGAGAAACTGGTAAGTTAATTTCTTACACATTGGAAATTGCTTATTTTTATAACATACCTGTTGCTGAGTGTGAAGGAAATTCATACTTGTCATGGATATATACAAACATGCATTCATATATATATGCATATAAGCATATATTTTTTATATATGTATATGCATGTATTTAAAGATCATTCAGATAAAGCTTGCTGAACTTTATGGGGTTGGAGACTGAACCTCTACGTGGATTTACATTTTAAAGACTATTTAGAGAGCACCATCACTGGTGATGATTACTGGCTTTCTTACTTAAGCAGTTTTCAATTATAGTTGCATCAGAAGAAAGCTAAGAAATAAGAAATAAAAATAAAATATTTTTCTACACAAGCTGCACAAAGCAGAATATAAACCTATCAGGTATAAGCATATAACAAAAGCTTTTCACCTTGATTATAGTCTGGTACTGCTGGATCCTGTTTATGGGTTTTTCCAGGTAGTGCTGCAGTGGTGGGATAAGTGGCTGTGAAGGATCGTCATTAGTTAAAATTTCATCTGTGTATCTCTGAAAAAATACATAGAAGAATGAGGAAAGGTTGTTATAAAGAACAATTGAAAAGATTACTCCCTGGAAAATGCTCAGATGATGCTGGTTCATTAACCTAAGTCAGCCAAAACTGGCTAGCTCTACCAGACCTTACTACCCCATATTTTGGACATCTGTAGCCCTCCCCCATCCTTTATCAGCTAGTTATCATTTTAGACTGCAAGATGTCTGAAATGCTGAATTTGTCTGCTTTTCCAGTGCAGGACTGACGCTGGGGAAATGTGATCCAAAGCTCGCAGAACCAGATGGTGTGACAGGAAAAATCAGTCGGGGGGTGGAAGGGCAGGAGTTAGTGAACCCAGTGCCAGCAACTGGTACCAGACCTCGGTCGAGAGTGGTCCGTGTAATTGCAGTGCTAGCGACTGGAGCGAGTGAGGGTCTCGGCACCGACACCTGGAGCGGGAAGCACAGGTCATGGGGTCCATGTGCTGGGACATCAGCCACTGAGCTGGACGTTTATCCTTTCCACTGACCTGGTGCACCTGGGTGCAACTGTGTGCAATTCACCAGCAAACTTCAACCCAGACTGGCTGCAAGTAGGAGACCCAGCATCCAGGCATGGATATTAGGGAGGCGGAGAGCTTGTGCTGATAATTTGAGGGATCTCTGAATGTGGGGTGAGTGTGAACACCTGCATTTGTTTTCTAGCGAGCATCAAGCTGGACTAGCTGGTGAGCAGGAGGCTCATGGAGAGGATAAAAGTGCTCAGGATCTGGGCGGGGGTACTGGATGGGCAGAGGAGCCATGCTGCTACTCAAAGGATCCATGAACATGCATGTGCTCATGGATCTGGAGTGTTGTGTTTGTTTTTCCACTAGTGAACTTCAATCCTGAGCAGCTGGAGAGGAGAAACAGGATTTCCCTATCTATACTAATATTTTATGTGAGTTCGCTTTGTCTTATAATGTGGTGGCCCTTAAAACATCCCTTAATTACAATTACATAATCACAGCCACATTCATATCTGTATAATCTTTATAATATTCACAAATGCATAAGCATATGTAAATATGTTCCAATATTGATTGTACCAACCAGGAAGAGCTAGAGAGTGAATATAAAATTATTATATTTAGCAATGATTTCCCACAAAAATATTTAATAATCCTTTTCAGGATCACATTTGTCATTAATAACCACATTTCTTGATGCAGTGGGTTATAGGATGCATGTTCAGCAGGTACTTTGGTTACTGTTTTACCTTGTAGAAATCCTGGACAGCTTTGCTGACAACAATCGACTCAGCCTGTACCCTCCCCACCAGGTACTGGATGTACTTATTAAACTCTGTTTCATGCTTGATAAAGCACATGGCCACATCATCATCAGTGTCACATCTCTGCAAGCCTCGGAGGAAGACACTGTAGAGACAAAGAAAAAAGGACATCTAAGGAGAAGGTGATGGAATGAGGCTAGGACACAGCCCCAGCAGCCAAACTTTTAAATCAGGCAATTTCAGGTTAACACAGATTAAAGGAAATGACTGGGGGAAATGCGGGATGTTGCCACATTAACATTAAACTTCTCAATGCCTCTTCATCCAACATGATGCTGTCCCTCTTAGCTTGAATGTATGAAATGCCCTGCAAGGAAGGTAGGGATAACTTTCAAGGGCTTAGCTCAAGTTGGGAAGTTAACCCCTCCCAGACGCTTATGCCTCAGTTTAAGGATCAATGAGCCATCCACACGAGTGAAGACAGAGATCCCCACTCTGTTTCACAAAGGTTGTTGAGACAGGTTCACATGCACAAAGATTTTCAGCAGTGTCGGTAGCTGATGACATGCATCACCTCTCGCAGTTGAAGTTACTTTTGGGGAAAAACAAAAGGAGAAGGAGGGAGAAGAGAGAGAGAGAGGGAGGAAAGAGAAGGGAAATCTATTCTTGTGGCCCAGCCAGGAGAAGTGCCAGATGTCCCACATAAGCGTCCTCCCCACTGCAGAATGGCTGCCCCCCATAATGCTTTTCCCAGTGTAACTATATACTTATCATCGCCACCTGCTCAAACTCCTTATTGGTTGTTCCTGCTTATGATGCTGCTAGCACTGATTGGAGCACACATTGATCGGGGAAGATGCTGCACGCTCACTGGTTGTTGAGCTTTGTGCATGCAGATTATTGTCCCCCCCCTTAAGTAACCCAAAAGTTAGGACCACAGGGTAGGAAAATGGGGAAGAAAGGGTGATTCTCATGCTGTTGGCAGGGACTTCCCATGAGAACGATCACTTCCCGTGAGAGCAAGGGTATCAAGGTACAAAAGGAAGCCCCTTAGCAATGGAAAGCCTCAGGCACGTAAGACATTGTACAACACCTCCTCTCCCTGGCAAGTAAAAGTATTTCAGCCTGGACCTTGGGAATTCACTTTGTGAAGAGCAGATCTGCAGTAAATCCTTTCCTGGAGTAGGCAGAGGCATTGTGCCACGGGGTTGTACCTGGGCAGCCTGCTACAGCTGGATGTGTTTTGAATGCATGGACGCTGGCATCAGTTTCAGATGAATGTGTGCCTCTATGAAGACACCACTGAAGTGCCTGTAAGACCACTGAAATGCCTGTAAGACCATGCTGTCTTTTTGTAATCATTCACTGTTTCTCAATTAAATTCACTTAAAAGGGTAAGAAATAAGATGGACATATGAAGCCTTGAAGCTCTGAAGGGTATTAATGGGAGTCCCAGCCCTGTGCTCTCACTTAAGCTATGCCATCATCTATCATCCCAAAAGGACCATCAATTCCCTGGCACCTCAGCACTGCCAGTGCTCCACATCCTTCACAGTAATAATAGAATCATAGAATCATTAAGGTTGGAAAAGACCTCTAAGATCATCCAGTCCAACCGTCAACCCAACACCACCATGCCCACTAAACCCTGTCCCTAAGCGCCTCATCTACACGTCTTTTAAATACCTCCAGGGATGGTGACTCCACCACTTCCCTGGGCAGCCTGTTCCAAGGCCTGACCACTCTTTCAGTAAAGAAATTTTTCCTAATGTCCAATTAAACCTCCCTCAGCGCAATAGTTACTGTGGCTCTGACACCAGGTATGTGAGCCACCCTTTAGTCCCAAATGAAGGCACGTGGGAATGCCCACCTGGAATGGAAGCGAGCAATGTCATCAATATTTCTGAAGATGGTGGATTTCTGGCTGGCGACAGCTCCTGGAACATTGGGACAGGTCTCAGTGTACTTAAGGTGATGAGTCTGGACAAACTGTAGATCTTGAATGTAATCCTCCTCTGAGATTAACAGCTCTTGAATAAGAACACTGAAGGGAAGACAAATAGGCAAAAAGAAATCACAGAAAAATCATCACAATTATCCTTGACATGCTGAGAGACTTTTAGGCTCTAAAGTAGAGATACATGATCAGAGGAACAGACTCCCTGGAGCGTGACTAGATCCCCTCTGACCATAAGAGGAACTTAGACACTGCTCATGGAGTGACACCTACCCCTACCTTCCAGACATCTACTCTTAGGGCAGACAAAACAGACCGTGAGCAACAAAAGGATCTATGTAAAGTAGACGGTAGCAATTTCAATGCCACTTCACGCAATCAAGAAAGCAAATATCTCCATGAGAGCGCACTCAGCGGTGTGCTGCACTGCAAGGGAGTAACACAAGGTTGAGCGCTTTCACTCCCTCTTTAGACATCATCCTTAGATATAGGGCACCCCAAAGTACAGAGGTACTGTAACTTAGGATTTTGTGATATCAGAGAGCTTCCAGAATTACATCATGTAAACCCCCTCCTTTCAAGTCATCCAATATGATTTAGATTGCCTGGAATTTTCCTAGGCTGAAATCAATGGCAAAACCCAATCAACGATCACAAATTACAAGTCTGAGAGAATCAAGGGTTTGTTTGGTTCTGGGAAAGGGGAGGTGGCAGGACTCAGCAGAACAAAAACAGTGACTCTGACAGGAGGGATCTAGATGCCAACATTCACATTAGTTCAAAAGGCAGGAAAACTCAAAGGTGCAAATACCAAATGACACGAACTCACCTTAGCTTCCTTTTATATTCGTCTTCAGAAACAAACTCTCCAGGGAACTCAGGAGCTTCTGTTGTTCCCCACTCTGGTGACAACTGAAATACAAGAAAAAAGAAACATTTTTCTTTTAAGTTAACAGCACTTTTTTCAATGCACACTGAGGAATATCCCTCTGTGTTCACAGTCCCTTTCAACAGTTCCTAATCCAGTGTGAAATTTCTTTTTTGCTGGAGGATGATTGGGTCTTTCAAACCCAGGCACCGTGCACACATAGAGAAATATTGTCTAATCAAAACATGAAAAAGTCCAACCATGTTACAGACCCCTTCAACAACCTCCTCACACATCACTCCTTGCAACAGAAGCAAGTAATTCTACATGAAAAATAAACACAGCATGATTAGTCACCTTTAATTTCTTGTCCAGATAAGCTGGAGATACCCAACCCTGCCGAGAGGGGCTAGATTTTGTGGGTTTAGTCCTGACCAGCCATTTCAGAGGATGAGCTGAATCAAGGACTTCCACATATTGGCCTTCCTTCAAAGTGATGGTCTCCCTGTCAGGCGCAGCGGGCAAGTAGTCAGCTGTGACCATGTAGATGTCAAAGATCTGCAGGCATGAAACCACAGTTATTTTGGGCTCGAAAAAAGACTTCAGTAACACCAGCAGAACATAAGTGCTTATCTGTGTTTTATTCTCCAGCCCTTTGAAATGAACACCCCAAAAATTTCTAATTTCTAATTTTCACAGAATTCTCATTTTTCTCATGAAGAACTTCTCAACAAAATTCTTCTGACCAACTCTATCCAAGGCCACAGAAAATCAAGCTCTGACTTTCTGAAGCTCAGCCATGAAAGCAAAAGGTGCCAAATAATGGATATGTTTTGACCATGTTGACTTGAACAATTTGTTCAAGATCACACAGTGAGCATCAGAATTTGATTCTCTGTGCTCTGTATCACAGACCCAATATTTAACTACTAAATATACCTACTAAAGTGAAGTACATCCCTAAAGGGGATGGAGATCCTTAAACCATAGGAGATTGGTCATTCTAAGTAAACTTTTCTCCTTGGGTCAAACTTGTCCATAAAGATATCATACCTCTCCTCTGGAATCCCCATCTTCAGATTCAGAGGAGGACTCCTGAGCAATGGATGAAGGTCTGGATCGTCCATGGCGAGGAGATGCAGAGGGAGTTTTTGATTCATCATCACTTTCTGCACCTGGCACTCGAAGTGTGGCTAAAAAGCAGAGCAACAGCAAAGTGTGAAATAAAGACCTCCAGTTTGAACAGGAACCAAATCTATAATAATTTTCAATTTCATAAAAACAAATATTCCGTAGGAAGAGCATTTGTAGTATTTAGTGTGATCTCCTATTGATATTTAGGATTAAACAAATAATTGGGACGTTTTAATACATGAGGTTGCATGCCTACTGCACGTATTGCCACTGCACTGCAAGAGTACTTGTAGGAGAGGTAATGCCTCTATTTTTGCTTCAAGGTAAAATTTTACTACAAGATAATCAGTATATGATACACAAACCAGGATTTTTCATTTCATTCAACAAATCACTGGATTACTGCACAGCTGTGCACACAGTTTTCAGCCTCAACTTGATTTTAAAATCCCATTGTGAGCTAAAACTTGAAGATGTGGGAAGTCTTCAAAACAGGATTGCTTTCAGACTCAGGAGTGATGAATATCTGATGAACTCAAAATACCTAAGATGTTCAAAATGCACTTCCATTTTTACAACTTGCCCTCCACTCTAAAGCTTACAGTTACTCCTGCTTATTTAAAAAAACACTGTATGCATAAAATGGACACTAGCCATCTTAGTTTACTGTAATAGCTTTTTTTCTAGTTCAAAACTGTAGACTAAGACATGCAGTTTGGATGGACTTTTACTAAAAATTCTTAGTTCTAAGCATTTACAAATGTTCAAATGCTTATGTAGGATGACTGTCTCAACCTGCTTCATAAATCTCACTGATATTTAAAGTCCAAATGATACCTAAAAAAAAAGATTCTATATTTTTCTACATTAATTAAATTGTTTTGCCAGGTTCCTTACCCTGACTTATTTTTGCAGATACCATTTCTGAGATACGTGAGGTGAGTTTCTGGAAGAACTCTTCCGAGCCAACATCAGCTAATGAAATAGGGCTTTTGGGTACACCTTCTCTACCAGGTTCCAGATAACCTGCAAAAGAGAGAATTTTCTATTAAGCAGGCAATGTCATTGGAAAGTCATCTTTTTTGAGTAACAAAAGCTTCTGTGGAAGAAAGGTCTAATTTTCTTCACTTCCCCTGTTTCTAAAACGGTGCTTGCTCACATTTCATTCAAATAATTCACCCTTGAACACAGACCAGTCCTGAAAAGCCCCAACATTTCAGACAGTTTCAAGAAAACAGGACAAAAGTATGGTCATCATGAAACACATAGACAATCTCAGCTGTAGATGTGAAGGGCAGAAGGAGGAGAGAGAAAATAGCTTCTCTTACCTTCTCTTGTTTCAGAGGGATGAATAGCTCTGAAAAAGAAAGAGTAAAGCAAACTTAGAAGTTAAAATAAAATGTGTAGTAAGGAGAGCTAAATCCTTGCTAAATCCTCCTTCTCACACCTTGTACGCGAAGGCTGGGAATATCTAAGTTAGGACTCTGGTTTGGACTGCAGGTGCTGGTAGCCGATACTCACCAGGACCACTATAAGAAATGAGAACTGGGGCACCTGGCTCATATGAAACACTTGGGTGTCTTAGTCTTTGAGCCAAATCCCATCTGAGAATTCTCCTTATTCCTGACTTTTTTTCCCAAACTTTTCAGCTTGAGAAGACCTGGCTGCTCAGGGAGTGGATTGCAGAACAGAGTAGCCTCCATCTCTCTGGTGCTATTGGGACTTTATTCCCAGCTGACACTGAAATTACAGTTGGAGACGTTATGTCAAGCAAGTCTCCGTCAGTTTTCAGTGAACTAATGCTCAACAATTTCCAGTGGTTTCATCAGGAAACCAAGGACTGGAGAATATGCAGATGCTGTGGTCCTGCCAAGAGATCTGCTCCCAATACATCAGGATGCCCATGTGTTGGGGAAGCAAGCTGACCACTGGTACTACCATGGTTTTGAGGTCCACCCTTGCTACACTGACAGCTTTTACCAGCACCAAATTCATTCACGCCAGCAGGAAAAGGGCAGGAGACTATACTGTCAACACTGAGTGAAAATGCCTTCACAAACCTGAAGAACTACCAGCATTTGCTTGCATCTGATGAAGAGCATTTGTGGTGTTTGCCAACACTACAGCTCTGTCAAAACACTAATATCCTGAAGTCAACATCTCTGCTATTCCCGTGCTTTTTGGAGGTGGGATATAAATTTTCATTGCACAAGCGGGTCTGCCCTAATTCCCTGTTAGTACATAGGAAGCAGGAGGAAGCTCACTCCACTTGATATATGATAAACCATATATGACTAAGTATGCCTAAGAGACCCTGGGCACATCCTTGGGAGAAGCTGCAGCGGAATAGCTGAATTCACACCGCAGCTTTCTTCACTTTCTTCACACTCCAGAGGAAGACTGGTCAAGCCTTTTAGGCTAGACATGTTCTAGAGTCTAATGTGTGTTCAGGTGAATACCGCTTTTCAGACTATATGTGCCTAGCATCCAAGCCAAGAACGGCGAATCGAGGAGGTTTTTCTTCAGGCGCATTTGTAAACAAGAAGTTTTTGAGCAGACCCTTTTCATTTACTTCTTTTTCTGCGAAGCATCAGTGTATTTCAGTGTTGGCAAGTAACAGTCAGACCTTGACCCTGTGATTTTTTTGGCATTCTGCTTAGGAGATGAAAAAGTAGCAAGAGTTTTATATGACCTACTCAAATTTTTTTTTTTTTTTTTTTTTTTGTCCTTGTTCCTATCTTCCCTGATGCTCAAGCATAAACGGCTGACATTGATACTAGAGTATTTACAGCACTTTCCATCCTAGGACCTCAAACTATTTTAACTCTGGTGCTGAGACATGAATATAAGATGTCCAAAGTGAACACTGCCTAAAAGTGACGCATGGGAACTTCTGCAGGGTGGTACCTGCTCCACTTCAGCATGGGTGGCCAACCACTTACCCCAGTGTGGTCATGATGGCTTCTGACACCATCACGCGCTCCTGGGTCAGTGCTTCAGCCTCTTTCACTGCAAGATTAGGGTTTATCATTAGAAGACAGAAGGTAGGGATTGTTCTTTTTATGTATTTAATGTAGGCCCATTTTCTAGACATGGATTACTGGGAACACTGAATCTGCCCTGTTAGCAGCTCCTGACCTGAGATACCTACTCCCGCTCATGTGATGCAAATAGTTTGCTCCTCTCCCTGTTCACGTAGGTGTATGATTGCCCCATTTCTCTACACTGCTCAAGCTATGCTCCTGTAGCTCTTGGTACAGTAAAAATGTGGGATGCAAGGAAGGATAATAGAAAAATGGAGTCCTTCACAGTGCTGCCCCTACTCCCAGCCTGTATTTGCTTGTCCCCCGTCTTACTGAAGGAATTGTGCCAGGAGAGGCCCTGGAAAGCTCTGCAAAATGGGAATCAAACAACTCTAGCTGCTTTAAGGCAATTCTACAATGCAAAGTACCATAGCAGGGTGAAGCACTCAAAATAATCTTTCAAATGGTGACTTTTTCTAGTTACTTTACATTGCCTTCCTTTCTTTTTCCTTTGTGCTTAATTCAGTTGTTTCTTAGACTTGTCTTCTGTTTACACAGAAAAGATGCTGCTGTTAATTCAAGCTAGAGTCAGAAATCTAAAATGTTATAGAAGTAAAGAGTGTAATCATTTGCAAGGCAAGCGAAGTCATGACTAATCTTGGAAAAATGCATTTTTTTTTTTTCAGTTGTGACTTGATTAATTTCCTTCTCAGTCGCGCTTGTTTTCCTCTTAGGCACTGTATAAAAGGTAACATAGAGAATGTGTTTGCATTGTAACAAAGATTTACCATCTGCAACTTCCAGGATGGCGGTGCAGATGGACTGGCCAGCCTTGTTGGTAGCAATGCACGTATAAGCTCCACTGTACTTCTTTTTAACATCCAACAGGATTAGACTGTGATGCATATTTGAACTGGCAAGTTTATACCCAGGAGTGTCTGGTTTGATCCACAGGATGTCTTCCCGAGACTCTTCTTTCAGCCAAGTAATAGTTGGTGGTGGATGTCCTAAAGGAAAACCAATGCAATGAGCTTTAATTTTCCTGATGGTGTTCCTTCCTTACAATTATGAGCCATGCTGTGAATAAATGCTATTTTGAGCTGTTTCCTGATACTTTTCCAAAAATAACAAGCATAATATATAATAAAGGAAGATAAACCTTTCTACAGCACACTCATAATGACATTAAACCTTTTTGTAAAACCAAAACTGTTAATCAACACATCTTCATAAGACTAATAAGTGTTATTATCCCTGTTTTTACATACAGGAAAGTGGAAGTGAAGATGAGTAAGATGCTTTTCTGTAAAGCACATAAAGTCTCTTACAAAGTTGGGAGGAGGGTCCCAGACTTCAGATACAGGAGATGAGGCTACAATGCCTTGGGTCAGAGAGAGTCTAGAAAGTGTCACGAAGTTGTGCAATTTAAGTGTTATGCAGAGAGGCAAGGTATCTACCCACTTACCTTCAACTTTTACAGATAATGTGATGCTTGCACCTTTTTTCACCTTTTTATTAGTAAATCTTTCTAGGAACCTTGGTGGTATCAGCTGCTCGCGGGAATCTGAAAATGACATTATTGATGAAACTCAGTGACACCTTCTGTTTAGACTACTGAAAAATTCCTAGGGGTTCTGTTGTCTCCTGCTGTGGCTTCTCTCACCTGTTTCTGATGGTTCTTCTTTCTCATCAGGATCTGTAACACAAAGAGAAAAAACCAAAATGACAAATACAAATACCTCTCTGTCCATGAGTTGGAGAAAAAAACAAAGTGACTCCATGGGACTGCTCCTTGAAGGAGATGTTACACAGAAATGTTAGTATGATTTATAAGAGGCCCTCAGTTTTAATAAAATGAACCATTAAAGTTAATGAAGTTGGGCAGGAATAAAATGTATGTTTATGAGACAACAGTCAGACCCTAGAGAAGTGAGACGTCTCATCTTTGGGACACACAGTAAATTTATAAGATTAAAGCATGTCATCTTTTATTTACAGACTTCCCCATCTCATTTGACTTACCTTGGTAGGCTTTCTCAAGAAAAATAACTATATAAGAGGGAAAAAAAAAATAGAGAATAGAGAAAAGCAGGTGCCAAAACCAGTCCAATACCTACCTTTAACTACCAGCCTGGCTGACGAATACGCAGAACCAGCGGAGTTGATGACAAATACTGAGTACTGGCCAGCATCTGCCTTAGTGACGTCGCGAACTTCCAGCGAGTGGAATTCCTGTTTATCAGTCTTCAGGATGCGATCCGAGGCCTTCAACGGCTCTCCGTTTTTGAACCAATAGAGACGAGGCTGCGGGTACCCTGCGAGGAGCAGTTACAGACACGGAGAACAGAATGCCTTGGCAACATCGATTTGGGAGCATCTCCAAACAGGCAGATCCTTCTGAGCAGGAGCCAAGGAATCCTCAGCTCTGCCCAGGGCTGCTGTTTCAAGGATTTACCCAATTAGGAATGGCTGCAAATTCATGAAATTCTGTTTATCTATTAAAGTTCTTTCCTGTGTCTCTTCAGTTTCTGGCATTCCCCATATCGGCTGCATGTGCAAATGCCTTCCAGGTTGGAAAGGTAACACTTAGGTCTGATTTGCAACGTACACAAAGAGAAAAGTTGAAGCCAAAACTGTTCTCATCAGTTTTATAGGCAAAAATTGCAGGAAACAGGAGAATCCCTACCTCTCCCTACCACAGACAGTCAACATCAGGAGGATGTTTTTGCACTTTTTAGGTTATAGCAGCAACCCCCTCACAGAGTAAGGCAAGACCAGGACTGTTTCATTTATTAAAGAGAATAAAGGACACCCTCACTCTCTTTTTCTATTCCTTATTGCTCCTCCATAACTAATGTGCTCAGAGAATTACAGGACTCGGTTTTCAGAAGCGTATGCCTATAATTATGCCTGGAGACATGGACACAGAACGAGACACTTAATCTGTCTGAGCCTGCTGCAAAAGTCAATGTTCATCAGTATGAACGCATTCTTCTGGCTGTTTTGTGCAAACGTGGTGCAAGATGCATGGACTGGGGTCACAGCTGCAGAAAAGCACATCGGAAAACCTAGTCCAGCACTTCAACCTGACAACAAATCTGGAACAACTGACAGTGCTGTGGGCTCCCCTCACCTTTCACCTTCAGGTGAAATTTAGCCAGTGATGCTCCAGGTGCCACATGAATATCATGAAGCTCATCGAAGATTTGGGGCAATTGCTCCTCCTCAGTGGTAGATTCCTCCTGTTCTCGGCTAAGAAGCAATCAGAATTAGAAAGAAGACAGTCAGCAAGCCAGAAAAGAGTTAGGAATCAGAATCACCTATTTTAGGTTAATTCAGTCTGTGGGTTTTGTCATCATGACAACAGATTCAGCACCATATGACATTAAAAGTAATGGAGTGACACCGTGAAGAAATATCCAGGCTAGCCTGAAGGCAGCCAGAGCAAGCTTGCACATGATAAAGGTCCAGCTGTTGCAGTTATTGCATCTCAGCCGGTCTGGCTGTTCCTTCATGACATCAAACTGGCCCTGCTAGATATAGCAAAACCAGGCTTGACATAAATTTACATACTGATCTTATCAAGTCAAAATTTAGAAAGAGCTAGAGTTCGATATTTTACCTTGAAATATATTCTTTGGCACTGTAGTAAGAAGATGTCTCTGTTGCATCTGCTGCTGTCTCATAGTCGGTGCTGGTCACTGTTAAATGGAAAAGGAAGTGTTTTCTATAATCTGAGTTTCAAAACTATTTTTCTTACTACAGTTATAGTTTCCCTACTAATTTGAGTGACTGGCAAGTTGATTTCACACTGCTACTGCAGCAGGATCCCACACGTCCCTGGATTATGGCAATCACTTCTGTTTATCTGAAGAGCTTTGCTCTGAGCATTGCCTTGGAGTTGGCAAAACCCAACCGAACCCAAGAAGTTTGCAAGTGAAACATTTTGTGGGCAATGCATACATTTTTTTAATGTAAATAATGTTTTTCTTGAAAACAAGTGTATCCACCTCTCAGCAGGACCCTTTCCCTTGGTTTCC